GGAATGATGGTACCCCTGAAATTAATGGTTCCGAAGGGACAAATCAAGGTGTGTCCACTAGTTATCATCACAGGTGTCTAAATCTTGTAATCAGTCAGTGGGCCTGTTTATAGGGCTACAGATACTGTGCTGTTTGGTGATATGGTGTGGACCACAGCAACATGGACCAGAGGAAGAGGAGGGAGGGGTTGTCTCAGGAGATTAGAAAGAAAATTACATACAAGCATGTTAAAGGTAAAGGTTATAAGACCATCTCCAAGCAGTTTGACGTTCCTGTGACTACAGTTGCACATATTCTGAAATTTAAGATCCATGGGATTGTAGCCAACCTCCATGGGCGTGGCTGCAGGAGGAAAACCGATGACAAATCAAAGAGACGGCTTATACGAATGGTAACAAAAGAGCCCAGAAAAACTTCTAAAGAGATTGAAGATGAACTTCAAGCTCAAGGAACATCAGCCTCAGATCATATCATCTGTCCTTGTTTGAGCCAAAGTGGATTTAATGGGTGACGACCAAGGAGGACACCAAATCATAAAGCCCAAGAATGGCTAAGAGGAAAACACTGGACTTCTATGATCCCTGACCTAAATACTTTGGAAGCATGAGCATTGTTGAGCATCCCTCAGTTTAACTGTCTTTTTTTTTTTCAAATAGATTTGGATTTAATGTATGTGTGCCTCCAAGAGTCAGCTGACACATTTATCTATGGGTGTATATTCAAAACACTGATGTTTTGAGCAGCTGAGTGGTTTGAAGTCTTCATGGCAATACGGCTCATTTGAATGTTGGAACTCAAGGAAAGTCTGTACATGAAGTCAGTCATTGTCAGCATTATATAGTCAAATAAAAGTATTGGTATCAGGTGTAGCTGTTTCTGCCAAGCATCATTGTCACCAAGCCTTTTTTCTCTTTTATTCTCTGTGTCAAGGAGCGTCTTTTGGCGCTGAAACGCAGCATGTCTTTCATGCAGGACATGGATTTTTCCCAGCAGGCGGCCATTTTGGGAGACGAAGACCTGACGGCCGATCTCCCTCCTCCAGAGACGATCCCCATCCCCRTCGAGCCTTCCAAAAAGTCCAAAAAACAACCAGTCAAAGACATGAAGTGAGACATCAGGTTCTTTCTTACTGTAATGGAAATAAATGGCCTTTTGTGTAAAAGTTTGTTAGAAAGGCCTGAAGATGAGTACTGAGCATCTTCTGACACTTAAAGAGCTTGTGTGTTTATACATGTGTCTGTATGTTCTCAGTTACCTTTTCGAACCTGAGGGGAACGCGTGCAGCTTGACTGACAGCACAGCAGAGGAGCACGTTCTGGCTCTGGTTGAACATTCTGCAGATGAAGCTCGAGATCGCATCAACAGATACATGCCAAACTCTAAGGTTCATGTTCCTCACCGTTAATACATGTTAGGTGATGCATGTTAGTTCATACATGTTACTGAACACATGTTAATACATGTCAATTAATACATGTTAGTTACAACATGTTAGTTAATACAAGTTAGTGAATACATGTTAGTTCATACATGTTAGTTGATGCATGTGAGTTCATACATGTTACTGAATACATGTTAATACTTGTTAATAAATACATGTTAGTTACAACATAATAGTTAATACATGTTAGTTAATACATGTTAGTTAATACATGTTAGTGAATACATATTAGTTACAACGTGATAGTTAATACATGTTAGTTCATACATGTTACTGAATACATGTTAGTTACAACATGTTAGTTAATACATGTTAGTTGATACATGTTACTGAATACATGTTAATGCATGTTAATAAATACATTTTGGTTACATGATAGTTAATACATGTTAGTTAATACATGTTAGTTGATGCATGTTAGTGAATACATGTTAATAAATACATGTTAGTTACAACATGTAAGTTAATACAGGTTAGTGAATACATGTTAATAAATACATGTTTGTTACAACATAATAGGTAAACGTGTTAGTTTATACATGTTAATCGATACATGTTAGTTAATACATGTTAGTTAATGCATGTTAATGAATAAATGTTAGTTAACGTTAGTGAATACATGTTAATAAATACATGTTAGTTAATGTTAGTGAATACATGTTAATAAATACATGTTAGTTAATGTTAGTGAATACATGTTAATAAATACATGTTAGTTAATGTTAGTGAATACATG